GGCACACATATCCGGTGGCACTGAGCTGACAAGTGTGTAGGCAGCTGAAAATTTAATAAACCTTAATTATTCTGTTTATACAAACAAGTAGGCTGAAGCCACTGACACAGTTGGAGCTTTCAGTGGCTTGGTGCACGGAGACAGAAAAGCATGGAAAACCAACTGCTCATAAATAATTAGCTTTCGGGCAGGTTTTTTCTTTTTTTTTTTTCTCCCCGTCAGAACCAAAAATAATATATGGAATGTTTTTAAATTGGCAAGATTACAACTGCTACAGACAGCACCTATTTTCTACCTGTCAGGCCTATGTGTGTATGTGCATGTGTGTGCAGACCCTTCCACGTGCATGTGCATACACAGCCAGCAAAAACAACACGAGTACCAGACCAAAGGAGGATGCACAAGTGTCATCGGTCCCTTTGTTCTCAGGAAGAGAAGCAGTGTCTGCAGAAGTCTTCAGAGTCCTTGCTTACATGGCAATTCAGAATCGACCTATTGCTCACTGTTATAAGAACTTGGCTACCATTAGCTCCTGTAAGGGGGTACCCTTATTTCATTCATTGGAAAACCCTGATTCAGTGACTTGCCAATGGGCATACATTAATGGTGGATTCTGGATTCAAAACAAGATCATAAAGCAGTGGTTCTCAGAGTGTGGCTCCCAAGTCTGCAGCATCAGCATCGCTTGGGAATTTGCTAGAAATGCAGATTCTTGGGACACTCCAGACCTAATGGGTCAACTTCTGGGATCCAGACATCTGGCTTAAACAAGCTGTCATGAAAATGAGCCCAAAGTGGCCTCTGTCTATTGGTCCCTGGCTTGCTTGCTTCTTCCCAGTGGGCTAAGACCCATTAGCTCAAAAGCCAGTCAGCACCAAATTCAAATTTTCATGCATCCAATTGCTTGAAACATAGCCTGAATAAGCATATTGTTCAGCCATTTAAAGCCTGTCTGCTTTGCATATCTTATGAAACTGTACCTGACATCTGTCAACCATAAGTAGGATAAACACTGTAAATAAGAAGACCCGCAAGCTGCTGCTGCTGCCCTTCAGAGCTCCCTGACCCAGAGACTTGCCACTGTGCTGAGCAATAGCAGCTAGATGTGTGCACCCTCTCTGCTATACCCCCTCCCCACAGCCAGCAGGCACAGTTGACCAGGGCAGATCTTTGTTCTCGTGGTCACGGATGCATTCCAAGTGCCTAAAACAGTGCTGGGCACAAAGTCAGCACTCAGTAGATACTTGTGGAATGAATGAGTGAATGAATGAGGAGGCGGCAAATGAACACAGAGCCGTGAACACTCCACATGAACCCAGTCAGTCTGCCGGGAACCTGAGCCTGCACTGCAGGGCGGGTGTCAGTCAAAACCCTTTAGTGAGCACTTACTATATGCCAGGTACCAGGTACCAAGGCATGACCCCCCATGGACTCTGGCCTGGGAGCAGGGGGCTCCCAACCAGTGAGGGGCTTAAAGTAAGAGAGCTAGAGGCAGCCTGGACACCCGGCCCTGGGTCACCCGTCCCACCAGGAGCCACCAGGTGCTTTTTAGGTTCCTCCTTCCCCTTTCATGATGAGGTTCTTTCTTTTTCTTAAATCGGGGGTGGGGGTGGGAGGAACCAGGACTCTCAGAAGAACTACAAACAATAGTTCACACGATCCTCAAAATTAGTTCATACTGAAGTAAAATCAGTATTGATAGCCCCATTATACAGATGGGGAAAGTAAGCTCTGAGAGGCAGGGCCGCTTGCCCAAGGGCACATAAACGGTTGACATGGGGCTCAGAGCAAAGTGTTGGGCAGGTTGGGCCTGCCCAGCCCAGGGGATACCCACTCTCCCAGAGTGGAGACATGAACATCAGCTGGAGGCCGAGAAGAAATCCTGGTGTGCAAAGCATGAAACAGAGATTCCGTGGCCCGAGAGCTCTTGGGGAACGCAGAGCGCTTTGCAGCACGGCATGCTGGAGGCTCATGTCACTATGGGCTTGGCAGGAAAACAAGTGTGTTCCCTTGGAAAAGAAAGCACTGGGACATCAATTTACACTGGGTTTTCCCAGAAGCAGGGAGACCCATCAGGCCCCAGGGATGCTTTCTCCAAGACACAGGGTAGAAGGTTAAGATGTGGGCTTTGGAGTCAGAGTCCAGAGACCACACAGGAGCCTCGGGCCTTTGCTGAGTAAGTCGTTCCTACCTTGCCATTTCAGTTTCCTCATGCCAAAAATGGAGGTAATGATGCCTCTTGGGTGTTGATGGGATGGTTAAATGAAATGCCCTAATTATGATTTAGCAAACACATAGTGGACGGTCACAAATAATTGGTGGAGCAAAGATAATTACGGCTCACTATTACTGCTACCACGACTGCTGTTATTGTTATGGCTTTGGCCTGTGAGCACCACGGAAGCGGCTCTGAGCACTTCTCAGCGGGCATAGGTAGGCACAAGAAAGGCATAACAGCCTCTTCCTCTATTGTCCCCCACTGAACCCCATATGCCTGGCTACCATTTGGGTGGCCACCTGGTCTGGTTTGCCCGAACGGTCCAGGTTTCCCAGGACAGTCCTGGTTTACACCTGTCCCATCCTTATTATTAAGTGTCCTCGCTCACTCTGCTTACTCTGGCTTGGATGCAATACTCCAGGGTTCCTCCTATCACATGCCTGTCATAACTGAGTACATTCTAAGCACCCCTAGGGCCTCCCCAGCACCAGGACCCTGGAGACCCGCCCGGGGCAGCCCAGAGCTGATTCCCCATAAATGTTCCTTAGACCTCATAGAACCTTCCAGGAAGCCCAGGGGTCCTGCCCCAGAGTCACAGGCCCACCAACACTCCAGACGCCCTGCCCTCTAGCCATGTGGAGCAGATGGCAGACGCCATACCTTTTGGAATCCAGTCGGCTCCCCTGGAGAACTCTGGGTCTGTTATTTTAGCGAAGGAAAGGAAAAGGGAAAAAAAGAAGTTAAGTGAGTGAAACTCAAATCCCAACAGAGCCTGTAATGGAATATTCATTTTGTCAGGGGAGTGTTGCTTTAAAACCTGGTCATCTGGACAGGCTGAACCAGCAGGTGATTCGATTTAATGAGCCTTTTAACGCACGTCGGGCCCAGGTGGGATTCCGTCTGGGAAGGCCTGCACCGGGGTGGCTGGGGGCTGCAGCCTGGCTGGTGCGAGGCTGACACCTAGTGGCCGGGACGCCTGCTTCGGGGCCGCGAGCTTGGGGTCTGGGGTCTGGGGGCTAAAGGGGCCTGCAGAGGCCTGCTCAACCACCCTCCTCCTTGGGCCAGCCTCTCTGCCTGAGTTTCCTCACTGGTTCTCAGGGAATAATAACAGTATCCCCTCTATAGGGTTGTTAGGAGGACCCGGCATTTAATAAAGGCTACAGTTAATAGCTTAGCTATTTTTATTATTCTGTAGGAGAAGAGGGCCCCAAGGGGGAAGTGCTTGCTCAAAGTCACAAAGCAAGTTAGTGGGGGAGTGGGGCTAGCAGAAGTAGGGCTCCAGGTCCCCAGTCCAGCGCTTCCCTCAGGGAAGCCTACCACAGCAAGGGGGGTTTTCATGCCGGCTCTGTCCCTTGCTAGTTGTGACTTGGGGCAATTTAACTTCTCAGAGTCCCAGCTCCCCTCTGGAGACTGAGGAATGATCACTCTGGCAGAGGGCTGTGCAGGCACTGATGGGATAATGAACACAATGGTTTCAGCTTAGTGGGTAACAAAGTGCTCCTCGAATGTCAACTGTGATGGTGACTGCTGTCATTACTGGAGCTCCAGCCTTGCAAGGTGGCAGGGTGGCCAAATGACACCTTGCGAGTCAAGCACCCAGGGCCCAAGAGTCTCCCCCTCCTCTGTGCAGTCATTTCAGCTCGATCGGGGAGGCACAGGGCGAAGGGAATGAGGGCATGTCTGTGTCTCTCCCAGTGAGCTCGGGCTCAGCCACAGCCCTATCTCTGGGGCCTGGGGCGTGGGCATCCTTAGCACCTACCAGGAGGTGGCTGGAGTCCTTGAGTTTGGACTTGTAGAGCATCCATCGGTAACGCAGATCCTCCAGCTCATCCGAGGTCCCCCTTGCTGGCCTGAGACGAAGGAGGCTCTCGAAGAGGTACTGACCTTCCGGTACCCGAGCCTCTAGCTCCTATGAGGGAAAAGGCTTTGTCACAGGCACCCTCCAAATGGCCCCGATGGCCCCACCCGGCTGGTGAGGAGGTGCCAGTCAAATCTCACTTGAGGGGCTGCTAATAGAACCTGTAAAGTGAAAATCCCACCCATGCAAGTTGAAGCGAAGGCAGTTGATTTCTAGAATGTTACAGAAAGGATTCCTGCATGAGAGGGGTTAGCTCACTGCTGACCTCCACAGGCACTTCCAACTCTGGCATTCTAGAATCAGGTCTTCCAGAGGGCTTGACCTAAGAGTGACCATCATAAAAGCTATCATTGTTGACCAGGCCTTTCTGTTGGCCTGTGTAAGCCTGGCAGAGTGATGTTGGGATTGCACAGATTTTTCTATCAAAATACAGTTCTGTGTTCCTCCAAGATGGCACCTCTTTATCCTCCAAGACCCCAGTGTGATGTGGGGGAGTGAGCAGGGCTCTAAATGCAAGTCTGGGTTTAAATTCTGGCTTTGGATCTTGGCTTTGCTCCATCCTACCAGCTGTGTGTGATAAGAGGCAAGTTGCTGGCGTCTCCCATCCCTGTAGAACGTGAGCCCTATGAGAGAAAGTTGTCCCTGAAATGGCTGGATTTGGGTGGTGGTGTCAGGAAATGAGAGGAGTGTCAGCATATGAGACAGGAGGTAGGCAGGAAGGACTTCCTCCTCACGGCCAAACCTCTCACTGAGGACAAAATACTAAAAACATTCAAAAGGCACCAAGGAGTTAACAAGAAGACAAAGCACATTAGGCTAAAACCTAGGAAAGCACCGACCCAGAGAAGTGCCCAGAGCAGTGACCAGGCCTGCTTCTGCCTACGGGACACTTGCCAATCTGGAAGAAAGAGTTGTGAAACAGAGCGTGCTTTTGGCAGTCTCGCAGGTCCGTGGAGACAAAGGTCCAAGTCTGGGCCCTGCAGAGGCAGAGATCTGAAAAGCCATTCCCCCTTCAGCTGAGACTCCTAAAGGTGAATCAGAACCTGACTTAGACCTCGTGTGGATTGGCAGCCCAGTTCCAAGTCATCTCAGTAGTCCAGGGATTCTCAAGCTTTGAACTTGGATTGAGTGGTTTCAGAATGATCAAGACCTCACTTGCCTGGAAGTCACAAACAAAATCATCCCCGGAGAAGATTCTAACCATTGAGATGATTCTACATCACAAATTACTCTTATACCTATTGTGCCAAACACAATGGCCATAATCAAAGCTGTCACATACATGCAAGACACCAAGAACATAAAGAAGTAACATGCAGCAGAAACTTTCCTAAAATGACTTGAGATGTTGGAATTATTAGACACAAAACAGCTATGTTTACTGTATTCTAAGAAAAGACAAGTTGAAATATTTCAGTAAGGATCTGGAAGCTATGAAAAGAGAGAATTATTTTAAAAGAACCAGGTAGAAATTCTAGAATGGATACAGTATCAAAAGTTAAGGATTTAGGAGACATGTGTAACAGCAAATGAGATACAGCTAAATAGAGAATTAGTGAACTGGAAGACAGGTTAGAAAAACTATCCAGAATGCAATTTGAAGAGACAAAAGAATGAAAAAATACGTAGAGTCATAGAGGCAGTGGGAAGGGGTAACACATTTAAATGACATCAAGAAGGAGAACAGAAAGGGAACAAGGCAGAGACATTTTAGGACATGTCAGAGATTTTTCTGGAAAGACCCTAGACCACAGATTCAAGAATTCAGATGAATCCAAGTAGGAAAAATAAAAAGAAACCTAAACTCTAACACTTCTTACTGAAATTGCAGGAAAACAAGGAAAAAGAAAGGTAGGCTAGGGCCTGGTTGAGAAAGGCTTTGTGTAATACACTTGGAGGTTGAATTCTATACTGACAGGTTTTTATTAGGGCAAGGACATGGTCATATTTGTGATTCTAAAGGGTCACTGTGGCTGCAGAATGAGCCATGACCTGGATGACCAACAGGAAAAGGGAGGCCATTTGGCAACCTACTGCCATAATCAAGGTCAAAAATAGTTAAGGGCCGAGATTAAGACTGTGGTAGTGAGAGGGGACAGAAACAAAAATATCCAGGAGGTGGAAGCAAGGAGGGCTGGTGACTGATTAGATGGGAAAGTGGAGGAGAAAGAAAATTCGCAGTAGATAGATTGCAGAAATGGCCATGACCTCCCCATCCTCCACAGCCATGCCCTTTGCAAGATGACTTTGCAGTTCCATTACTTGACTTGTCCAGTGAATGCGGGGGAAGGAATACTGTGCCAGTTCCTACTCTAAGCCTCAAGAAGCCTTCATGCTCCCACTTGCTCTCTTAAATGATGTCTCCGGTATGTGAAGCCCAGGCTGTTCCACAGGACAAGAAAAGTGTGGTCCAGCTCATGTTCATCTCCAACAAGTCACCAACCCCCAGAAGTAGGGCCACTCTGCTGACTGCAACTGACAGCAAATAAGGGGACCCAGCCAAGACCAGAAGCACTGCCCAGCTGAGCGCAGCCTAAGTTACCAACCTTCAGAATCATTAGCTAAAATAGGTGCTGTGCAAAGCCACAAACTGTTGGGACGATTTATTACACAACAATAGCTAACTGAGAGTGGTGATTACTGGTGATATTTTGCAAGGTAGGTTTTCCAAGTCAGCTGATGAATGAATGAATGAATGAATGAATGAATGAATGAATGAATAAATGGTTCTTGTAAAGTTCTTCTAAAATATTTGAACCAAAAAAAAGTTTTAAGCTATTTATATATAAATGAAAATAGCTCACAAGCCATGTGCTCCTTTTCTTGAAGAATTCCTGGGCGGTGAACATACCTATAGGTACAGACTGTATGGGACAGCAGCTGTTCCTTGGGGACAAACCTGCAGCTTGTTTCCTCTGGACCTCATGTCCGAGGCTGTGGCAGTTCTCATTGAGATGATTCTAACCAGCTTGGAATTTTCCACCTGCAACCACAGCTCAAAGTTCCTCAGGAGCTGGGGGAAATCCTCGTGGCTGCCGCCTCCGTCCTGGAGAAGATCTGCCTGCAGGAATGCACAGCATGATCAGCATCAGAGGTGGAGACACGCATCCTGGGGACTCCAACCAAGGCAGAGGGTACGGATGAGGATGCTCACAAGGTGGTGAGGGAGGCCTGGAGGGGATGAGGAATGTCTCTCTGCTCAATGCTAGGAGCTAACTTCTGGTAGAGTTTCGGAGGTCCTGCATGACTGGGGTGGCTCTGGGTCTCAGCCCGTGCTCAGGGGACCCAGGGAACCCAGGGCTGTGCTGCAGGATTTCATGGACGGGTGCCGGCATAGCATGTGGGAACACTGCACCTTCCTGCCCTAGGCAGCTGGAGCTGCGGCAGCGGATGGTCGTGGTCACCAACCTGGTCTCCTAGTGGCAGCCACCATCCTCCCTACCAGGATGGCTGTAACAGTGGCCACCCTTCTGTCACTCTTGCCCCCTCCAGGCTTGGTGGCCAGTGCGATCTATCAAAAATGCAAATCCATTCAGCTAAGCCCTTGCTTTAATACCTCGGGGGCTTCTCATGCTCCTGGATGTGGCCTGAGAGCCCCAGGTTGTGGCTTTGCCTGCCTCCTCAGCTCACGCCACCTTCCCTGTTCTGAGCCTGAACTCGTGGACACATCTGGTCCCGGGCACTTGTGCTGCCTCCCTCTGGGTCTTATGCACACTGTCTCCTCTGAGTGGAACACACACCTCTCACTCCTTTCTCTGCCTCCCGCTCAGCAGTGAGGTTTTATTCCCAGACATTTCATTTCTCCTGGGAGGGCTCCGCTACCCCAGAATGGGGTCACAATTACTCTGCAGCAGGCTCCCTAGCATGTGCCCCTCTGCCGTTGAGTCCCATGCTTTCTGTAAACCCTTATCTAGTTGCCTGTGGTTCCCACTTCCTTCTTCCTCAAAATGTGCTCCAAGGCTTAGCAGCCTGGGTACCACCTGGGAGCATAAAGAAATGGAGGCTCTGGGACCCCACCCTAGTCCTATTGAATCAGAGTCTGCATTTTAATACGATCAGGGTACACATCACAGTATTTTCAGCTCTGCTCTGGATTCTAAGCTCTTTGTGGGGACAGAGCATCTGTTTTCCTCACAGCTGTAGCTCAGCTCCAAGTGCAGTGCTTGGACAGAGCAACAGTCCATATGCATCATTTGCATCGGGAAACGAAAGAATGAATGGGAGAACGAAAGAGCTGATGTGTTGTATTTGAAGGACATGGAATGAATTTCTTTTTAATGTGGTTCCTTTTTTTAAAGTCAGGGAAGGGATGGATGACACAATGGAGTTAGGTTATTTTTACAAAATACAACTATGGCACTAAAATATACCCATCTTGTGATTTCAGTTTTCCATCTGGGGCCAGCAGGAAGCTTTCAATGCTGACGTTCCTCCCTGCTGGCGGCTGCTGGTGTTTCTGAGGGGTGAGGACCGTTTGCCCAGGGATGCCCATAACCCACCCTATCGGCTTGGGTCTGGGGTCTCTGAGTCCCTCTGTTCAGAGGCACAAGGCACACCTCTGCCACAGCGGGGGCAGGTTCACTCAAGGCTGGATGTGCCTAGGTCCCCAGCTAAGCAGGTGGCCCTGGACAGGGAGGGGCCTTTGCTGGAGACCTCCCATTATTTGACTCAGGATCTGGCCTCTCCCCAGAAGTCCCACTGGACATACCCACCTGACGGCGATGCCTGGGAATGGGGTCCGTGGGGGTGATGAGAAACCCAGTCTTTGGGATGTTGTTGGTGAAAATCATTTTCTTCCCTGAATCCACTTCTGTCCTCTGCAGCTGCTGGTTTCTGAGAAGGCTGAGGAGACAAACTCACCCAGTCAGTGTGGGGCTGCGACCGGGACTCACCGGTCAGGCAGAAGGAAGAGAACTGGGGCAGAAACAACTTCTGGCCTCCCGGGTCAGTGCCTGTCCTTCAGGTTTGCCAGAATATCCCCAAGGCATGTGTATGTCCTCTTTCTACTGGAGGCTCACATTACTGTCATTCAGGCACACATACCCACTGAGGCAGGGGGGACCCAAGCCAGAAGGGGCCGGAGGCTGACTCCTGAGCTGAGGCACTTCCCTGCTCCTATTACCCTGCCAGAATCACGAAGTGGGCCAGACTGGAGGAGCCCAGAGCACCTGGCGTCATTGTGCCTGGAGCACAGCAGAACCCCAGACTTTGGCGCCCCCAACACGACTGAGCTGCCCTGGCTGGAAGGGGGCACGTCTGAGAGCAGGCCCCAAGCTGGGAGACCCCCTCACCTCAGCAGGCTCTCCTCCAGCAGCCTCAGGGCCTTCCAGGATTGCTCCAGTTCCCCCAGCTCCTCCTGGACCGCAGCAGCCCCTTCCAGAGAAGATGTCTCCATCGCCAGCCGGCCGTGAGCTTCAATCAGGGGCAACTGGGCCTCCTTCTCGGGGAATTCAGCCAGCAGCCTCTGAAGGACACACACACAGACATGCACAGACGCACAGACACGGACATACAGAGTGGGACAGGGAGGTCCTGGGGAAGGGGTCTCTGCACCCCAGTATGGCAGCTTTGGCCTCCCCAGCCTGCTTTTGGGGATGATGCAGGGGAGGGCACTGGAACCTCTGTGAGGAAAGCCAACTTACCTCGACTTCCACCTCTCGGGACTGGGCATCCCACGAGCCTGCATCCCCCAGGTGTGACTCCAGCTTTTGAGTGACCATGGCCATCCACTGTCGGAGCTCCAACAGCTCGTGGCTGAAGGTGCAATGTGCATGCACGCTCTGCCGGCACCTGTCCACGAGGTCCTGTGGCACAGCCCGGGGCGCAAGGTATCCTGAGCTCTGGGCAAGGCAGAGACCCTGGGCCACTCCACCCTGTCTGGGCCTGGGGCAGGACACCCCCAGAGCTTCCCAAGAGGAACACAGAGACTGTTCCTGCCTTCTGCACAGTGCAAGGAATTTACCCCAGAAAGACCAGCTCTGGTTTAAAGTGCCTCCAAGACTGTCTTACGTGTATGGAAAATACTGAGTCCGGATAAGGGTGTGGGCAATCGGAGCCCTTGTCCCCCACTGATGGGATGCAAATCCGGACAACCACTTGGGAAACCCATAGATTGGTATCTACTAAAACTGAGCACAGGCATTGCTATGCCCCAACCATTTCAGCCCTGGGTGTGCACCCAGCAGGTATGCATACCTGCACCAAAAGGCATGTGTGGTGCTGTTTATAATCGTCCCCAGATGGAAACTACCCAAGCGCCCCTCAACAGCAGAGTGGATAAGTAAGTTGAGGAATATTTTATAGCAGAGAGAATGAGCAATCTGTGCAAAAATCTAATTCAACATTATGGGTGAATTCACAGCCATCACGCGGACAGATGGATGCCAGATGTAAAAGAAACCATTCTGTCCCATTCAGTTGAAACAGCACAAAAATCAGGCAAACCCAACCTACGATGTTCCAAGTCGAAGGTCAGGGTTACCTGCAGGTATCAGGAGTGCTAGGCAGTGGCTGTCGGGGGCAGGAGGGACTTTGGGGAATGGGAGCATTCTGCGTCATGATCTGGGTGCTAGTAACACAGATGGGTCCAGGTCTTAAGAACTCACCACGCTGCACACTTAGATGTTTGCTTTTCTGTGTGGGGTCATACTTGGACACACAAATTTTTTTACATGGTCTTTTCTTTCCTTCTCCCTGGGTCAGTCGTTGCTCTGAGGCTGGGGCCTCACTCTTCTCTGTCTCCAGGGAAGGAGAGTGGCCATTCTCCAAGCTCCTGGTCACCTGGCCTGGGACCCGTCAAGCCCCTCCCTCTCAGCCCACCACAGGCCTGTCAGCACCCAGGCTTTGTCCCCCCTCTATTGCTGAGATCCCCAGCTTAGGTCCGTGTGACTCTCGGCCTTCCTGCATTCCGCAGACACTGGCTGACCCCACTGGGTGCCAGGCCCCCAGAGAGGATGCACTGCGCTTGCCCACAACACTAACGAGCCTGAAAAATTACCTAAAACCCCACTACTCGGCACTGTTACTACCGCTTCTTCCAATTATTATGATCCAGCTGGCTCACCATTTGATGTAGGCATTAAAGCTGACATTTGCTGCTTCTAGGGGCTCTGTGGCTCCTAAAGGGCAGGGTCAGTGTTTCCTGTTTCTCTACTCCCCCTGCCTCAGCCCTTAGACCCTAGCTACTAATGTATTAAGTAGACTTAAGTGAATTCACCTAGACCTTATGCCTCACTAGCCCAGTGGGTCCCTGTAGGTGTGTTTGCTGAAAACTCATCGGGGTTGGTGGCTGCAACAACGATGGCATGGGGGTGAACCACAAACCCCGTGAGAGCTATGGGTGCTCCCACCCGCTCTGGGAGGACAGTCCAGCAAGTGGAGCTGCCCCCCTGCCAGGTTTCTTCTGCTCTACCAACATCCACAATGGAGAAAACCCTCTTTATCAAGATCTGAGCTTAGAGTCTTTCTCCAGTTAACATACAGACACAAAGAGGTTTTTACAAGTTTTAATAAACACATCAACTTTTCCAGGAATGCATCTATTTTATGAACTGGAGGAAACTGCACTCTGGATCCATTGAAACTTTAACAAAGGTTGTCCACACTTCAGGACATCTCACTGGAGGCATTTGGGGCTGCCACACAAAGGGGTGTGTTCAGATCACCTCCTCATGTTTTTGGTGAGGACATCTTGGGGCACTTACATGTTGAAAGACACTATTTCATTATAATTACCTCCCTTTTATTTCCCTTTTCTATTACAAACAGGGCATTACATTAAAATTTTAATTTTAACTTATACTATCTATGAATTTCAGGATTGCAGAGGATGTTAGGAATATTTGTTATTAAAACAGGGTAGGCTCAATAGGGTGGAGAACCTCTTTCATGGACTGTTTTCTTGAAGTCGGCCTTCCTGTGAACCCCTCCGACACTTGTTACAAATGCAGACAGACCTAGGACTTCATCTGAATCAGCGTCAGGGTGGGCCTGGAGCCTGCGTTTCAACTCTAGGCCCACTTTGAAGGAGCCCCTTTCTTTCCCTTCCGGTATCAAAACTGCAGACACCCAAGATCCAGGTGGCCACTAGAGGGCACTGCAGATGAGACTACCCTTGACCAGGACACTTCAACCTCATACTGAGGTAGCTAACCAGCTGGACATACTGCATTAGGATCAGATCAGCCTCCTCTGTTCTTCCGTCTCCAGGCACATGGGGAGTCGTATATTTACTTGTTTGCTTGCTGACTCCTTGTCCAAACACCCACTAGAACGTAACCTAGGAGCAGGGGCTCGTCTTGCTCAGGCTGCCTCCACCCTTAGGGCTCAAACACTGCCTGGCATATAGGAGGTGCTCAATGATCATCTGCCGAGTGAATGAGGAAAGGAAGAAAGGAAGGGAGAAAGCAAACAGAAAGGCTGGAAGGAGTGAAGGAGATAAGGAGGAGAAAGTCCCAGAGGCCTAGTGTGTGTCCCAGCACACGTCCCCCATCGGCCCCTTACCTCCAGAGACCTCTGCAGGGCCTGGTAGTCAGCGGAAAGCCGGTCCACTTTGTGCTGGTGGTTGGGGTTCCCTTGGATGAGAGGCTGAGCAGCCTCCATCTGTGCCCCCAGGTCCAGCCCCTCTTCCTGCAGCCCCTGCAGAAGGAGGAGTGGGGCCGTCCTTCCTGCCTCTTGGCTTAGGAGCTCAACGGGTGTGGGGCCCTGAGTGGCAGAGCTCAGAATGGTTACAGCACAGTGGGATCACCCCACCGCAGTAGCTGTACCACGTGGCCATCCCATAGGCCCACTCTCAGGACTGGTGAGATTTTATAAAGGGGATAAGTATGTCCTAGGACACCATGAAAATAAACTCTGCTAAAGACCAGACGGCATGGCTGGAGGACAAACT